TGTGTTTGTAAACTTCCTGCATTACGTATTACCTATTGTTTTGAGTTTAAAAAAAGATTACTTTTGGATATAATATCAAGACTGTTTGACTCTATTTCACGACCAAAAAAAGTCCATATATCAAAGTTTATGTATATTTTGTCGGAGATACAAGGTTTTCGTTTGTCCAGTTGAGAGCATCTGGACTGCTGGGTCACACACATGTATACACACACAAACAACATACATGAGCACACACTCTCGCATCAATGCCCACATGTATACACACACACACACACACACACACACACACACACACACACACACACACACACACACACACACACACACACACACACACACACACACACACACACACACACACACACACACATACACATACACATACACATACACATACACACACACACTGTGTATAGGCCTAAACCATGTGACCTCCGCTGCCCCCCCCATTGGTTCCTGGCCTCCATCTCTTTTGTTAGCGGATGAACATTAGTGCTCGTGCAACTTGAATGCCACCACTATCTTTTAGTAGTAAATCACACTGAGTGCATGTTTGTAAACCCTGAAGGTCATTGTTGTTGTTTGTTTACTCTCTGTGTATAGAGCGGAGGCCTCTCATTGGACGGGACACATGTGACCCCAAGGCGCCACTCTCTGTTACACACTGAGACTGTTTTTGGGAAGAAGTACTCAGATGATTAACCTAAAGAGGGCCCTATTATGCTTTGTTGGGGTTTTCTCTTTCCTATAATGTGTTATATAGGTTTGTGTGCATGTAAATGGTCTGCAAAGGCTAAAATCCCAAAGTTCCCTCCATTGGACTCCTTTGTTTACTTCTGTTATATAGTGACGTCAGTATGTACTGTAATACTCGCGCTTCTATTGGCTAACGCGCCTCCAACACATTGCAACGTGATAGGCTAAGGGGCGGGACATCTGTAAACTGTTGACCAAGTAAAAATTCAATAAATAGTCCAATGCAGATCACTGGATTATGATAATTGATGCATTCATGTTTATTTATTAGATGATCTATCTTTGTATATGCTATAATAGTGCAATATTTTAATGCAAATAGTACGATATTGGCTTCCAAAATCTACTGGTGCACAAGAAAAAGCACTTTTATTATTAATGTAATTGATTGTAATAACTTCAGTACATCTCAACTGTTGTAACTCCTTTAAAAAAACCTTAATAAAACACATCTTACTATCTTATTAAGTTAAGAACTTAAGTTAATATACTTAGTTACTTTACACCCAGTGGCGGCCGGTGGTCTTTTTTTTTGGTGGGGCTCTTGACGTACCGTAAGTGACCTACCCGGGGGGTCCGGGGGGTTTCCCCCCGGAAATTGTTTTCGAGAAATGACCCCTTAAATGATGACTTCTGGTGATGTTAGAGGGGGGGGGGAAAGGAGAAATCGAGGCTTAAAAATATGAGAAGACTGATCAATACCTCCATAATCTTCAGTGTGGAAAATATTATTTATCAACCTCAACATCTACTACTTTACCAGGAATTTGTGTTCTCAGAACTGGTCTGTTTTTTTCTTTCTTAAAACTGTTCATGTTTTATGAACCAACACCTTCACCAAGTAGCTTTACAGTGAACTGCATGTGAGATATAAAATTAATAGCATCTTTTCAGTAGCATTAATTATAAATATTTAAGTGGTTCAATACAAGTCACTACAGCATTTCAAACTGAACTGTGAATAAATGCAATTTAAAAAAAATAACCACAGCACAAAATGTCATAAATTGTGTTTTTTCTTTGTTTCTCTGAGGATTATTTACAAACAGGCTTATTTACATATAGCAATAACTCAGAAATGAAAAAGCTACATCGTCTAACACGAACAACCAGTTAGCATAATGATAATATATGTGTTATGTACAATGTAACTGGCAAGGCTAGAGCAAGAAAGAACATAAAGTTTGCAAAAGGTTTAAATAACTTCAAGTATCTGTCTTCAGATTACGTGGAGGTTTTAGTCCGATGGGAAGCAGATTTTAAGCGACACCGAAGATAAACCAAAAATGTGGTGGAGCTGCAAACCGTGTAGTGTTGCTGGGACAGAACAGGAGCTATAACCGTTGGAAAATACATCACAGACAATGCAACAAACGTGGAGACAGAACAATCACTTCTGTGATAAATGCCCACTTATTAATAAACTTCTAACAACCATGGGAAACCTCCTCTCTACATATAAAGTGATATCCAAGCATGGGAAACAAAAGACAGCATTTACCTGTTTGCATCCAGCTAGCCAAGCCTTTCTTGTGTACCAGCTACTTGTGAAGCCTCGTGTATAAATGTTGTCTTTTTCACGAGATTGCTGCGATATATTCAAATCGGGTTGGTCCGGTGCAAGGTCTTTAAGCAACAATTTATCTGCCAAACTTCTCCTTTCGAAAGGATTGGAGATTAGCTCTTGAACAGAATTAGCCGGGGACCGAGGTCCGGAGACTCCACCTGCACACGAAGCCATCCTCATCAACTACTGCGTCAACCGGATACGAGTCACTGTCCAAACTACTCACAGACTGCACTGGGCGCTGACATTGGCGCCTGGTGACCGTCATCTTTGACGACGCTGATTGGCTGAAATTATATTTTCGCGGCATAGTTTACACGTTACAGATAGCAACAGTCAGCTGCTAGTGGCTGATGCTGCACTGGTTGAAGGCTCCTCTCTTAGCGCCCAGACGAGAGAAGGTGCATGGGCAAGGCCAGGCAGGAAACATGTGACTTATCAGTAACTTTAGACATCGTAACACAATTTTAAACGAGATTTTATTGTAGATTATACATTTTACTGATACCAATTATATAATATTTACCTTGTTCATTAAAAATAAAAATAAAAAACATATATTTTTTTTTAAACATATTTTTTTTTTTTAATTTTAATTTTAATTATTATTATTTTTATTTTTTTTCAATATGGGAAGAGGTGGGGCGGCGCCCCTAGCGCCCCTATGGACCGGCCGCCACTGTTTACACCACTGAAAGTGTTCGTGTGTGTGTGTGTGTGTGTGTGTGTGTGTGTGTGTGTGTGTGTGTGTGTGTGTGTGTGTGTGTGTGTGTGTGTGTGTGTGTGTGTGTGTGTGTGTGTGTGTGTGTGTGTGTGTGTGTGTGTGTGTGTGTGTTAGGGTTAGGTTAGGTTAGGGTGCGTGCGTACACGCACGCACGCACGCACACACGCACGCACGCACGCACGCACGTGCGTGATTTTCACTTTCAAAGCTGATTCAGGAGAGCTGGGATTTCAGAGCGTTAATCATCCTCTGCTCACAGGAGAGGAAGACCATGGGAGGGAAATTAACTCTAAATAAAAGGTGCATTTTCTGGGTACTGTATGTTGACGTTTAACATGCATGCAGAACATCAGGTCTCAGCTGCACGTTCACTTCCGGACCAGTGAGTTATGTCACTAATAAGTAAAGGAGGCGATGAGTCCAGAAACGGTGAAACTGTAATCTTGGTGAAATGTGTTAAATCGTGAGGAGGAGGAGCGCTAATCTGAGGAGAGGGCGTGGGGGGGGGGGGGGGTGTTTATGCAGCCGGAGTGTTTCTATTTCAGTGAGGTGTTACCCTGCAGGAGATATTAATCCTGCTGTGTGTGTTATCCAACGCTCAGGTTAGCAGAGCAGCTGGAGCTCCTTTTCTGACCACTTTCTCCATTAACCTTCAAAGCACGTCTTATTAGGCACGTCTGATTCAAAAAGTTGCTTCATTCAACTGATGTTATTTGTAGGGCAATATATGATTTTACACTTCCCACATTTCCCCCAAAAGTGTCCCTAAAATCCCACCTATAGGCCAAAAATGCATGATGTCTTTCCCCTTTTTCACTCAAGATCACACCATGAATCATTATTGGATGTCTTATAAAGTGTGTCCTGATAAGACAACCAACTATGAACATAGTCTTTTGATTTTAAATTGCCCAATTCTCCCCGAACTGTCACCAAAAATCTCATCCACGGCCGTGCCAACGATGACCGATTATCCTTCCACTTTCTCCACTAAAATGCAAACCAATAACCATCAATGCATGTCTTATTAGTAACCAATACATGAATGCAGTCTGCAGGTGTTTATAACATTGCTTTGTTTAAAGTAAGTTATTTGATTTAATTTCCCCAATTTCCCCGACCGAAAATCCCATCCAAAGACCAAAATGCCCAATTATATCTGTCCACTTTCTCCACTAAAATGCAAACGATTAACAATGAATGAATGAATGTCTTATAAAGAATGTGTTATTAGCTACCAACATATGTGATGTGATGTTAATTGACTTGACATTTCCCTAGTTTTCCCCGACTAAAGATCCCATCGATAAGCCAACAATGCCCCATTACGGCCTTCCACTTTCTCCAGTAAAAAGGCAAAAATACACCAGTAAAAATAAGTAACATGCAAAGGGGGGGGGGGGGGGGGGGGGGGGGGGATGAAAAGGAAAGAGGGAAGTGAGTAAAGATGAGTGGCTGAAACTGGCCTCGGCTCTTTGGAGAAAAAGGGTTGAAAAGAAATGGGAAGGCTGCAGGAAAAGGAGCAGAAAGGATGGAGAATGAGATGTGGAGTTAAGAGGTTTTGAGTGACATGTGCAGTGTGATGATTTGTGACGAAGAAACTCATCGGGATGAAATGGAGATTCGTGGAAAATCAGAAAAAGAGAAAAGCCAGAGGAGATAAGAAGAATTATCTCCAGTTCGAGATGAAAGTGGGGAGATTTGAGCCCATGCTGCGCGCAGTTTGCTTTAATGATTTCCTGAGGGGATTAGATTGAACCCTGGACCACGTATTTAACACCACTGCAGCAGGAGAGTGTGTTTACGTGTGTGTTTGAGTGTGTGTGTGTGTGTGTGTGTCAGCCAGATCTTAACACGCATAACTCCAATTCCTTTCAAAAGTTCTCTTAAAACATTAGCTTGTCATTTGAATGGAAACACGCCTTCCCCGCCCTCGTTCTTTCTCCTCAC